ATCTCAGAGGCCAAGGAGCCAGGAGGTGGGAGGACTAATTAGTCCCAACGAAATCTCTAGTGTATTCTGTCCATCCCACGGAGGGAAAAGCTGAGAACAGCGTAAGAATCTTCTCAGAGCTTATTTCTGCCACATCAGTTTGGGGTTCCTAGGAAGGAGCCTTTTCTGCATCAAACTGTTTCATTGTTGTGGGGATCCTGGCCAAAAATCTGAGCAGATGAAAGCCACTGTAGGAGACTGGAAACCCTAACCCTTGATTGGTGTAGAGCAGCTGAGCCCTGCTTTTTGACACACGGATTTCCAGGAGCTCTCTCCACCGAGAACGATGGTCCCCCACCGGGGGCAATTTCGTCCCCCAGGGGACATTTGGCAATGCCTAAGGACATTTTTTTTCCCTCCTGTTTTTAAAAATCGTGGCAAAATCCACATAAAATTTAGCATGTTGACCCTTTTTCTGTGTATCACTCGTGGCATTAGGCACATGGACACTGTTACGCAGCCGTCACCACCGTCCATCTCCAGAACCTTCTCCAGAACCTTTTCATCTGGTCCCTTTTCAAAAATGACTCCACATTCCTTCCTCCTCTCCAGCCCCTGGCAACCACCATTGTGCTTACTGTCTCTATGCATCGGATCACGACCGGGGAAGGGGTGCTGTTAACACCCAGAGAGTAGAGGCCAGGGACGCCCCTCTGCGATGCAAGGGACAGCCCTCACCGCACAGCATCATGCAACCCCGAGTGTCACTGGTACCGTGGTTGAGAAACCCTGAGATCAAGTTCTGTTCACAGGCTCACAGCTGTAGCATATCGGTCAGCAGGCATCAGTTTTGCCGCAGAGTTTCACCCAAAAGGGTTTGATTTTTGCTCTCACAGGAGGCATCCTGAGTCAGCAACTCAGGCGGGAGAAGTGTGTGACTTTAATGCACCTTTTATGGGCCCCATCAAGTCACACGCCCATGCCTCATTCCAGAGAAGTAAGGAAGTGCATTTTTATTCTGGGCCCATTGGAAAGACAACCACCACGAAGTCCTAGCAGTTAAAATGAAACTTCCTGGTGTTGCCGTCTGCTGGGTGTGCCGGTGGGCAGCAAGCCCTCCACAGAGTGCCCGGGCTGTGGGTCACCGGAAGCTGTGGCTGCAGGCACTGGGCCCAGGGTCCTTGGGCGGCTCCCTTCCTCCACATCTTATGTCTTCCTGTCCTGCTGTCAGATTGGCCTCTGCTCTCCTTCCAGATTTTCTGTTTGCTTCTGTTCCAGCTCCCGTTTGGAGCCTCAGTTGATCTCCTTCTTCAACTGAAGACCCACCTCTTCTTTTAGGCTTGGGATTGTCTCCTTTTTGGCCTCGCATAGTCAGGTAATCCGGGGTGACTATGTTTGGCACATCCTGGTGCTTCCTGGGAGCTCTGTCTTTGCAACTTTGGCCTAAAGGCTTTTACATTACACTGACTTCCTTTCTTTTTTCCTTCTTTCTTTTTTCTTTCTTCTTTCCTTCTTTCTCCCTTTCTTTTTCCCTTCTTTTTCTTTCTTTCTCCTTTCTTTCTTTCTCTTTCTTTTTTTCTTTCCTTTTCCTTTCTTTTTTTTCTTTCTCTTTTTCTTTCTTTTTTTCTTTCCTTTTCCTTTCTTTTTTCTTTCTCTTTTTTCTTTTTCTTTTTTCTTCTTTCTTTCTTCTTTCTTTTTTTCTTTCTTTCTTTCTTTCTTTCTTTCTTTCTATTTCTTTCTTTTTTTTAAATAGACTATTTTTTTCAAGCTGTTTTAGGGTCACAGCAAACTTAAGTGGAAAGTACAGCTATTTCTCATATACCCTCTGCCCCTCGCACACGCATAGCCTTTTCCACTATCAACACCCCCACTAGCATGGGACATCTGTTACACTGGTGAACCTCCACCAGTTATCATTATCGTTATCACCCAAAGTCCCTAGTTTATAGCGGGGTCCACTCTCAGTGTTATATATTCTTTGGGTTTCGGCAAATATGTGATGATACGTATCCACTTTATAGTATCCTAGAGAACAGTTTCACTGCCCTGACAGTCCTCTGTGCTCTGCCCTACTCATCCCTCCCTCCCCCAACCCCTGGGGACCTCTGATCTTTTCATTGTTTCCACAGTTTTGCCTTTTCCAGCATACGGTGCAGTAGTCTTTTCAGATGGGACGGGCGTCTTTCTCTTAGTCACATGCATTGAAAGTGCTTCCTTGTCTTTTCCTGGCTTCCAGCTCCTTTCTCTGTACTGTTGAATCCTATTCCATCACCTGGAGGTTCTGAAGTTTTCCACTCACCTGCTGAAGGATGACTTTGTTGCTTCCGGGTTGTGGCCACTTTTCAGAAAGTGATTTAGTAGCAACAACCCTGAGGCTCAGGCGATTTGGAGGAAATGTCAAATATTTAAAGGAGTAGGTTCTTATCCTCCATCCAATAGGTCATTGTTGGTTTGTTTGGTTAGTTTAAAAAAAATTTTTTTTAATGTTTATTTATTTTTGAGACAGAGAGAGACAGAGCATGAACAGGGGACGGTCAGAGAGAGGGAGACACAGAATCTGAAACAGGCTTCCAGGCTCTGAGCTGTCAGCACAGAGCCCGACGCGGGGCTTGAACTCACGGACCGTGAGATCATGACCTGAGCCGAAGTCGGCTGCTTAACCGACTGAGCCACCCAGGAGCCCCTGGTTGGTTTTTTTAAAGCTTGATGGTTTTTCATCCTGGCTGCACACTAGACTCACTGTAGAGCACTTCAAAATCCTCTAGTGCTGGGGCTCCTGGGTGACCCAGTCGGGTAAGCATCCGACTCCTGGTTTCGGCTCAGGTCATGATCCCACAGTTCATGGGTTGGAGCCCTGTGTCGGGCTCTACGCTGATAGCGTGGAACCTGCTTGGGATCGTCTCTCTCCCTGTCTCTCTGCCCCTCCCCCATGCACATGCACTCTTTATCTTTCTCTGTCTCAAAGTAAATACTCTGATGCCCAGTTCCACTTCAGGCAATTCTAAATTGATTGTTTGGATTTTTTATGTGCCACCAGGATTGGAAATCATTTTGCACAGAACTCATCCTGGGTGGTATCAATCTCCTTAGAAATCAGAGACTCTCTGTTTTGATAGGGCAGGTGATGAGTAACTCCTGGTCTTACAACTTTTTGCCTTTTCTCCATGATGCCACCTGGAACCGTAGGGACCTCATTTGAATCAAAAATGTATTCAAGTGTATGAGAAGATTTTAAGCCATTTTTTAAAAATCTTGACCTTGCTGGAGGTGCTCTCGAAACTGACTTCCCACAAGAGAGTGAAAACAATGGCTGTCATCACTTAGGGGCTACTGTGTACCGTGCATGGAACTGAGCACTTTATGTATAATATTCAAAATTCTTTTTCTTTTTAAACTCCAGTTTTCATCCATTATCAGTGTGACAATTCATGTGGAAGCTTACATAAAGTAAGAGAAAGTGGTTTTTTTTTTTACCTTGCTATTAAATGTGGAAATTTGTTTTTCTAAAACCAATATGTATTTCCTATTGTTAACTTATTAAAAGATTCTTAAATGCAGGTGTAATTGACATAACATCGTGTTCGTTTCAGGGGCACAGTGTAATGATTCGATATTTGTATATGTTGTGAAACGATCCCCGCAATTGTCCCATTGATGTCCACCGCCATGCGTAGGCACGTCTTTTTTTTTTTTTCTTGTGATGGTATCTTTTGATTCTTGACATCAGCGCATGAGACTGATATTAGCGTCTATGTTTTGCAGCCCAGGAAATGGTGGTCTAGGAAGGCTGAGCAAGATCACACAGGTTGTAATTTGCAGACTTGGGCTTCAAAGCCCCATCCAAAAATTCAAAACTCTTTTTATTACATCCCGCAGCATAAACTTGAGGCAGTTCAGCACAATTTGGAGTCAAGATTTTCCCACCAAAAGAGAAGTACTCATGTTTGCATTTCTGAGCAGAATGTTTATGGCTTCCTGTTTACTCATCACCTCCAGGAGCATTTTGGGCCCTCTGACAGCAGCCACGTACTGAGCCATGATGTTCACTGGGTGATAGTTTTTCCAGGCTTCCAGCTTCCCTAACCCTAGTCTATGCTGTTTTAGCCTCAGAAGGCATATCCCTGATGAGGTTATTTCAGATACAACTCTAGAAAACCCTTCACAGGAAAAAGTGTTAACTATTATGCCCTGCACTTATATTGAGGGATAGCCTCTAACAAGGCCCAGGGACAAAAAAATATATGAATGAAAGAATGGGCGTTCTTCAGAGTGGGCGTGAGAGTGATTTTCAGAGGAGGGAAGGAGGAGGCTCACGTGCCAACTTGGGGCAGAATAATAAGGAGCAGGACTCAGTAGTGGAGACCCCAGTGGTGACTTCAGACTTTGGACAGAAAGGACGGGGGCTGTGGGTGGTGATTTGGTATAAAGGTTGGAGGGTTGGGGGGCTGGAGGGTAGAGGGTTGGAGGGTAGAGGGTTGGAGGGTTGGGGGGTTGGAGAGTTGGGGTGTTGGAGGGGAGGGGTTGGAGAGTTGGGGGCTTTGGGGGAGGGTGTGGGAGGGTAGGGGGTTGGAGGGTGGAGGGT